TGCACAACGCGTCGTGTGCGGGCTCGGCTGGGCCCCAATCAGGTTTTGGCTTGAGCTCGCAGGTCAGCCCAGCAGGCCCCTGGATCTGATGCTGCGGGGGAGGTTCACTGCGCCCCCGCCCACTGCTCAGAACAAGCAGTTCGGGAGAGCTGCCCCCCGAAGAGCGTCGCACAGCCCTCGGAGATGCCGACGCCGACCGGTTGGCGAAGCATGCCCTCTCCATCCACCCTCAGGCCTCAGCTGCTGACCTCGCGGAGCTGGATAGGCGGGTGAAGCTTCTCCTCGGCTGTGCGAAGATGATCGGGGCTGTCCTGCCACTCTCTCCGAAGCTGGAGTTTGGTCGGCCTCGGCGTGAAGCCCGCCTCCCCAAAGTGAAGCCACCGCCCGACCGGCATGAGTGGCAAGGACCCGAGGAGGAGGAGGAGGAGGAGGAGGAGGAGGAGGAGGAGGAGGAGGGTGGTTTCAGATGCAGCAAGCGTTTCCGGGTTTCTTTTGATAGCGACGCCCGACCTATGGAAGGGTCGTGCTGGTTTCTCCACGGCTCTCAGGCACCTATCGGGCGCTGAGACCCGAGAGGCGCCATAAGCGGGGCTTCGCTGTTTCGAACCAGACTCGCTTCTCTGCATCATATGTGGTGCGTGCGCCTGCCGCAGGTTTCACTTGCTCGGCAAGGGCTGTCTCGAGCAGCTCGGAGCCTCAGGTGAAAGTGCTCTCAAGCGGAGCCGACATGGCCTCCACCCTCCTTACAGGAAGAATACCGAGGGTGATGTTGTCGTTGCACCGCCTAGGGCCTGGGGCGCCGCCCAAGTCGGTGTTACTCAAGCCTCCTGGCCCCACATCGGCAGGTTCGGCACGCTTAGTCGACAACGATCGATTGCGTGCCCTGGCCGAGCGTGTTCAGGGCAAGGAGGCAGCCGCGCAGTGAGCGGCCGAGATCATGGATGTTCGGCCTCAGGCTTTGTGGTCCTCCGCCTCCTCCTCCTCCTCCTCTTCCTCCTCCTCCTCCTCCTCCTCCTCCTCCTCCTCCTCCTCCCCCTCCTCCTCCTCCTCCCCGCCTCCTCCTTCCGCCTCTCCTCCTTCCTCCTCCTCTCCTCCTTCTCCTTCTCCTCCTTCCCCTCCTCCTCCTCCTCCTCCGCCTCCTCGTCGTCGTCGTCCTCCTCCTCCTCCTCCTCCTCCTCCTCTTCCTCCTCCTCCTCCCTGCTCCCTCCTGCTCCCCCAGGAACAGAGGCAGCGGGCGACCGGCCAGGACCCGCCCAGCGCGCGGCCCAGCCCGGGCGAGCCCTCCCCCTCTCCGCGGGGATGATGATGATGATGATGATGATGATGATGATGATGATGATGATGATGATGATGATGATGATGATGATGATGATGATGATGATGATGATGATGATGATGATGATGATGATGATGATGATGATGATGATGATGATGATGATGTTGGTGATGTTTATGATGATGATGATGATGCGATGCTGCTGGATGCTGATGCTGCTGATGCTGATGCTGATGCTGGTGCTGTGTGGTGATGTGATGGTGATGGTGATGGTGATGATGATGATGATGATGATTATGATGAGGATAGGATGAGGATGGGGATGAGGATGATGATGATGATGATGATGATGATGATGATGGTGTGGTGGTTGGTGGTGGTGTGGGGTGATGATGATGATGATGGTGGTGGTGGTGATGGTGATGGTGATGATGCTGATGATGGTGATGAATGTTGGTGATGATGATGATGATGATGATGAGATATTGATGATGATGATGATGATGATGATGAATGATGATGATGATGATGGATGATGATTATGATGATGATGATGATAGGATTGATGATGAATGATGAGAATGATGGATGAATGATGATGGATGATGATGGTGGTGTGGTGGTGTGGTGGTGGTGTGAGGAGGAGAGGAGGGGAGAGGAGGAGGAGGAGGAGGGGGAGGGAGGAGAGGAGGAAGGGGAGGAGGAGGAGGAGGAGGGAGAGGAGGAGGAGGAGGGGGAGGAGGGGAGGAGGAGGAGGAGGCGGAGGAGGAGGATGAGGAGGGAGAGGAGGAGGAGGAGGAAAAGGAAGGAAGGGAGGAGGAGGAGAGGAGGAGGGGGAGCAGGAGGAGGGGGAGTCGGAGGAGGGAGGAGGAGGAGAAAGGAGGAGGAGAAAAGGAGGAGAGGAGGGGAGACGAGGAGGAGGAGAGGAGGAGAGGAGGGAGGGGGGGAGGAGGAAGGGAGGAGGAGTGAGGGGAGGGGGGGGAGAGTGGACATTGTAAACCCAAGACGCGTCAGCGATGTTGCATTGACACCCTCCCAACGAGCTCCTCCTTCATAGGCCCCATGCAATAGTATATGCCCAACCCTCCTGTACTGAGTTCCCGTTTCGGGTAGAGCAATGTGGCTACCACTCCTTCTCCTCCGCCCCTCCTTCTCCTCTTCCTCCTCATCCTCTTCCTCCTCGTCCTCTTTCTCTTCCTCCTGCTCTTCCTCCTACTCTTCCTCCTCCTCCTCCTGCTCTACTGCTCCTAGTGCTCCTGCTTCTCCTCCGCCTCCCCCTCCTCCTCCTCCTCCTCCTCCTCCTCCTCCTCCTCCTCTTCCTCCTGCTCCTCGTCCTCCTCCTCCTCCTCCTCCTCCCTTTCCTCCTCCTGCTCTATCCCATTCCAATCCACTCCACTCCATTCCATTCCATTCCATATCATTTCATTACTCCCTGTCGCACCCCGGGGCGGGTCGAACGGGCGGCCGGGCGGTTCACTTGAGGCCTCCCCGCCATTTATGATCCTGAAGCTCACAAGAATGACACAGCTTCACGGATGGAGGGCGGGCGGTTTCCAAATTAGGGTTCTCGCCTTCGCGCCGCGCACATTCGTTTCAAATATTTGCAGGATTTTCTTGGATTGAGGGCAGGCCGTTTTCACAATGCGGCTCTCGCCTTGCCGCCGCGCACACTCGTCTAAACAAATTGCAAGAGCTTCACGGATCGAGGGTGGTTCCTTTTCAACAAGTGGTTTTCGCTTTAGCGTCGTGCACATTCGTTTTAACACATGCAGGAGGTTCATTACTTCTCGTGGCAAACGTACCACACATTGCGTTATGGAGCGGTTCAGGATTGTGAGAGCGCAACAGTTGCGTTGATTCGGTGTTGGAGTCCCAATAATAGTGTTTTGGCACGAGTTCGGATCGTCAAGACGCAACAGCCAAGTTTGTGGCGTTGAAGTCCTGAGAATGTATTTTGGCACGTTTCAGACTTTTCACACGGTTGTCCCCCAACGGGGCAACTCTCTCAGTGGACAGTATGAGCTCTGTAGGGCTTTATGGAGAGGGAGCTTGAAGGGAGGGTGTATTCCAACATAGTTGATGCTAATTGTGTCTGCACTGGTCCTCCCCTCCTCCTCCTCCTCCTCCTCTTCTCCTCCTCCTCCACCTCCACCTCTACCTTCTCCTCATCCTTCTCCCTCTTGCCCTTCCTCCTCTTCGTCCCTCTCGCGACTCCCTGGGGGGCTGCGAAGCGTGAAACGGTCGACCCTTCCATGGAGTCCGGGGAGGTCCAGCGGAGTGGAGGGCCGTGCATACCCAGCCGAGACCTCGCGGCTCCCTTGGGGGGCTGCGGAGTGCGCAATTGTCGCCACTTTCGTGGGCCAGCGGAGTGGAAGGCCACGCAGACCCAGCCGAGACCTCGCGGCTCCCTTGGGGGGCTGCGGAGGGCGCAATTGCAGCCACTTTCGTTGGCTTCTGGAAGGTCCAGCGGAGTGGTGGAGGACCACGCAGACCCAGCCGAGACCTCGCGGGTCCTTGCGCACGGAGGCGAGCCCCTGCGCATTGCGGGTCTTTGAACATGTTCCTTCGTGCTGGGCGGTCCTGGGTAGAGTCGACATATTCTTTGAAGGAGTTGTTTACGTCGCAGTGTAACTTTCATCGGGGGAGGCTCCCATTTCAAGACAAGCGTTTCAGAATCGCCGTTCCTGTCAACACACCATTCTTGGGATGTCAGCGCCGCGAATCAACGTGACTGTCGGTAGGGCGGGAACGGCGTTTCGCTTGAGACTTCCTCACTGTGTATGATCCTAAAGCTTGAATCGTGAAGCAGTTTCACGAACGGAGGGCGGGTGGTTTTCAACATGTGGTTCTCGCTTAGCGCCGCGCACGTTCGTTTCATGAGTTTGCGACCGTTCAAGATGGGTTGGCGGCCCTCTCTCAAGAGGGCGCTCTCGCTTTCGCGCCGCGCACACTCGTCTTTTCACCACTGCAGCAACGGCAAGGGCTCGTGTTCCTGAAGTTCCACAACTGGTGCTCTGGCACCACTTCGGATTGTCAGGACGCAGCGGTCTCCGGAAGGGCCAGGCATGGCGTCCTGGCACGACTTGTGATTGCCGGTGGGTGCGCGACACGTCTGGCGGTGCGACGGGGGACGGGGAGGAGTTGTTTATGCTAAGGGGTGGTAGAGGAGGAGGAAGAGGAGGAGGAGGAGAAGGACGAGAAGGAGGAGGATGAGGATGAGGAGGAGAAGGCGGAGGAGCAGGAGGAGGAGCAGTAGGAGCAGTAGGAGGAGAAGAAGGAGGAGGAGGAGGAGGAGGAGAAATACTAATAAGAAAGAAGAAGAGGGGAGGAGGAGGAGGAGGAGGAGGAGGAGGAGGAGGAGGAAAAGGGGAAGGAGGATATAGGAGGTAGGAGGAGCGAGGAGGGAGGAGCAAGGAAGGAAGAGCCGAAGGAGGAGCAGGAGGATGAGGATGAGAAAGGGAATGAGAAGGAGCGAAGAGCAGAATAATGATGATGATGAGAAGGAGAAGGAGGAAAAGGAGGAGGAGGAGGGGAGGGGAGGCAGGAGGAGGGGCAGGAGTAGGATGTGGAGGATGAGGAGGAGAAGGCGGAGGAGCAGGAGGAGGAGCAGTAGGAGCAGTAGGAGGAGAAGAAGGAGGAGGAGGAGGAGGAGGAGCGGGAGGAGGAGGAGGAGGAGGAGGAGGAGGAGGAGGAGGAGGAGGAGCAGGAGCAGGAGCAGGATGAGCAGGAGGAAGCAGGAGGGCCCCCACCGCCCAGAGGACGAAGTCACGTGGGAGGAGCGCATCGACGCGCTGTCGGCGGTGCTCCTGGGAAGGAGCCCCGAGCCTCTCCGAACCCACTCGGGGCCTGAGCCCGTTCGGTCGCGAACCCATACAGGTGTCGGAAACAATTAACAGTTTGGGTTTTGGGGACCCTGTGGCTCTCGTGGGCCTCGCGCGGGTGCTCTGGAGGCTGCGGGGGGGCGCCTCGAGAGTCCTGGGGGCAACTTGGGCCAGGGGCATTTCTGGCAGCGCAGAGCCGGCCGGGGAGTGCCTTCAGGCAGGCGTGGGATGAAGGGCCAGATCGCTCCAGGGCGTTCTTCAAGCAGTGGCGAAGCGTCCTGGCTCGCCTATAGCCCTACCAAACAATGTTTTAAGAACCTTTCGTGGCTTCCACGAAATGTTCTTAGAACATTTCTGGCGGAGTCTGTCTTGTTTTATCACATCAGGTTTATGTTCTAAGAACATTGTTTTTGTTATTAGAACATTTTTGGGTTCCAAGAACATGTCGTGGTAGGGCTGAAGAAATGCCAGGACGGTCGGTCCCTGCTCAAGTTCTGCGCCGCCCGCAGAGCGTACCCCGGCGCTCTGAGGCGGCCGCGGGGCCCGACGCACGCCTTCTCTGGGCCCGATCCAGCTCTCAGCCAGGGGCCCCCGAGATCTGGCTCGATCCCAGTCCGCCCTCATCCTCGGCACGCACGAGATGGGGACGGAAAGAATGGGTGCAGTGCCCAACAGCGGATCCTGCTCTTTTTGAACAGGGCTCGTGGTCCGCGCCGCCGCGCCCTGTGCCCATTCGAGACAGGAGGCCGCCTGCCCAGCAGCGGCCGCTGTCGGTTTGGGACAGCATTTCTTGTTGGGCATTGTGCCCAATTTTTTCCGTGCCATTTCGGGCGTCCAGACATCCCGCCCGCGCTCCTTGCCTGCGAGCAGAGCCCTGGGCCCGGCCGGTTCCCTGGCAGGCCCGTGCTCTCGCCGGAAGCCGAGGCGGGGGACCCAGACGCCCACTCGTTGGAGCTCTACCTCGCGCGGAACGTCTCGGCGGAGGCAAAGGGGGTGGACGGCCCAGGGGCGTTAATCTCCCAGCCACCCTGCGGTGTCGGGTCCTCGTTTTGAGGAGAGAGAGAGAGAGAGAGGGAAAGAGAGAGGGAGAGGGAGAGGGAGAGCGCCCCGCGTTCCCGCTCCTCTCCTCCTCCTCCTC